GATAACACTCATGATTCAGAATTATTCCCAACTTACACAGTAAGAGCAAAGGCAAAGGGTCTTTTGGAAGATTGCTTTGAAGCTATTCTATGCACAATCAAACATTTCAAGCTTATACCTTAACGCCTGTTGCTGTAGAGTTATATTTAGTACTGCATAACTGTCAATTGCGTCCCGGTTCCTACCTTATGTGATACCCATTGAAGGCTCTTTGCGGATTTTGCGAAGAGTTCAACATAGGTTTGCTCATTCATGATACCACGCTTTTCAAAAATGCTGCAGGAAAATAGATAAGTGTATATATTTTAAAAATTTTGGCAAAGTCTAGAAATAGGAGCAGTTAGGAAAGTTCAGAGCTATCGTTACTGTAAGAAAATGGTGAGCGTAAATTCTTCGCATATTCTGTCAACCAAGGAACTAACAAAAAGGGAGTTGACTCTATGCACTTAAAAGCACTTAAAAAATTAGTTTTCTGAAGACCATGGAACGAAAAAGGTTTCTATAGAGCATGCAGTTAACTCTATCGCAGCTCCACTTGCATAGAGAAAAAACGTTTCTACATGAAGGGCTAAAATTACTTGCTTAAATTATTCAAAATTTGTCAATGTTGAAACTTTTACTTTGCAACTTCATTCATCAAAGAGCAAAAAATTATTCAAGTGCTTTAGGCCCGGATTTTCACATAATCAGTCTTCTTTTTAAAAAATGCCAAGCTTAGCGTCTTTTATTGAGTAAATGTCCAATTTGTCGGCAAAAACTTGCCATCTGTTCTCTAATCTCATCCCACGTTGAGGGTAGGAGTAATACGATGGCATACTCCTCTTCTTACACAAACTCTACTCTTGTCCACACATACCAACTGTTCCTTTTACAATGTCGTGCTGTCAGCGCCGATAGGTCACTATTACAAAACGTACCAATCATCAGCAAACTAAATGTGCTTTCTGGATCGGCACCCGGCAGATTGAAGCGAGGAGCGTTTTTTAGGTTTCTTGTTGACATTGTCATTCCCGGTTCCACCTGGATTCCATCCCACACGAGCTGAAAAGCGTCGAGTGAGCAGTAGAGTGCGAACAGATGTAAAAAAGAACTTACGTGAAGCTTCTGCTTTGGAGGGTTATCTATGATTTTTGGAGTGATTTCATGTTGAGCAAATGCTGCGGCAACGTCACCCATCTCTAAAAAATGAATTTGCTAATAAAACATGCAAAAACGCACTGAATTTACTGTCCAACTAATGACAAAATTACAGGAGAAAAGTTGTAAGAATTGTTTTTACTTCTCAGATTTATCAATGATTATTTATCAAAAATAAGTAACATGGTAAAGCTTTAAGCTGGTTGAGTTAAAAATTATGTTTGCAAGAACGACCGGAGAAGAATATTGGGTTCCATAAATGTTATGGAGGTCCTACATAGATTTCAACTCTAATATCAAAATTAGTAATATTCGGAATGTGAAAGTGTCAATTTAACTAAGGCGCTCACTACTTTGTTCGTATGCCGATCGTACCACAATATTTATTTACAGATATCTTGTTTTATTCTAAATTTAATTTATGTAAGTTGTAGTACCATATTTGAAAGAGTTTGGTCTTAAATTTTGTTAACGCGCTAGTTACTTGCGAAACCTAAGTATTGATAATGAATGAGAAAACATGATGTCTAAAATTTCAAAAAGTTTGAGCAGAGAAAAGGGCATAGTGCTCGATAGATTGAAGTTGAAATGTAAATAAGGGATCGTGTAGCACAGATCTCAGTATGTAGTCGACAAAGAGGCTTTTCACAGCCTCTGACAGCAAACGAAAGCTCTAGCCACTTGCGCTTTCTTTTTCAAAGCTATCCTCTGAATTTTAAATACGCTCAAAACGAAATGCGATAGGCCCAACATAGTCGGAATATCTTGCGAAGAGACAATTATTTCATATACTCAATCTTCCTTTCCTTCGTCATCAGAACCGACGAGAAGTAGAAAAGACCGTAGAAGAAAAAAACTTCTTGAGTTCTAACAACTTCGCAAGGAAAACCAATTCATAGTGAGTT